TACCTGCAGGATAAAGGTAGTATCTTTGCAGAGTCAAGTGCTGAGCATAGAAGAGGGCTCAGAATTATAAGGCAAGAGGGCCCTCTCTGGTGGCGCAGCGGGTTAAAGTGCAGCACTATGAAGTTGTCCGCAGCCACTGCACCACGAGTTCAATCCCCGGCCAAGGAGCTGACCCACATGGCCCAGCAGACCTCTCCTGTCTCACCCGCTGCTCCCCTCAGCAGGTATTTCAGTACATCTGCCTGTTCTGCTCCCCAATCTTTCTCTGGTGAATCTTCTCACCCCCACACCTCTGGCCTGTACCCCAATTCTTGTATGCAGAAATAAATAAGTCTTTAAAAAAAAATTATAAGGCAAGAAACACCTCACCTCGTGGGTCAGGGCATCACCAGTTTAAAAATCCTTCAGTGGCTCCTCAGAGCTTTCACGTAGGGTGAAATGTGGACTCCTGCCCACAGCTGCCTCACAGTCTCATCCCCCAGCACCTCAGCTTTAGTCATTGCAGTTCTCTCCATGGACTCGGGACTTTCTCGGGTGCTGTTTGCTGGCCTGGACCCCCTCCATCTGGCTAACTCTACTCTTCCTCAGATTCAATGACACTTCCTCAGAGAAGCCTTCCCTGTCACCCCTCACCAGGCCAGGCTCTCTCTCCCGTCTGGCACACTGCATACAGCTCTCACTTGCATTAACTGTTTCAGGGGTGGAACGCCTTCCCCCGAGTGTGTGTTTCCTGAGATAGGAGGCCTGTATGAGTATCTTGCTCACCACTCTATCCCCAAGACCTCAAGAGTAGACAAATGTGAATTTCATCATTTGCTGAAAGAAGAAACTAGAATCCCACGCGTCATCACCTCCTGTCTCGACTCTCCCTGAGCCTGAAGTCTGAGACAGAATCGCAGCCCCAGCTCCACCCAAAAACTCACCTCTGCACCTGCTCTTAGTCTCCCAGAATACAGGAGGGCTGTTCTGACTTTCTTCACACTCCACCCTGTCAAAACTTGAAATTCTGGTCACTCACGGCTTCACTCTGTGGCCTTATTTTCAGGTTTGGGACTGTTCGATAAATTCACCTGTCAGCAAACTCTGGGACACGGCTCCCACCCTGTCAGCCAAGGGACAGGCCTCTCGCCTCCAGCAGGCAGCTGTCGAGGTCCACCTGTGCCCTGGGCAGCTACTAGACCTTGGACAAATACACTGAGTAACTCGTAAGATGAGGATACTTCACAAAAAGGCTGAAATATTAAGGCACAAAAATTCCCATCTGTGCGTCAGGCACTGTTCTGAGCCTCCCACCCAGATGGATCATCACAGCACAGAGAGAGGACCCTCTCTCCCCTCACTCCATTCCAGGCCCTGAGGCACAGGGGGGCTAAGTACAGGATGGTTCACACCACCACAAGGCGGGGCTCAGTGGTGCCCCTTCCAGAGCCAGCTACCTGCATGCTGGCTGTGAAAGTGGGGGTTCAGGAGGCCTCAGCTGCTAGCCCCAACTTCCAGTCATGAAAGCAGCTGGGTGGTTTGTCTCCTAAAACTAGTATCAAGGGTTTCCTCTTCTCCTTCCCTTTTAGGAGTGAACTCCCATCTCTCTCTGGCCAGTGTAATTATGTCAGGAGCAACTATGTCAGGGGCTGATGGAAGAGCAGCTGTTATAATTGTTCGAAGAGTGGAGGAACTTAAAAAGTCTATCAAATTCCTTAACCTCAGGAAGTAAAAGGACAATTTATTTTTTGTTTTGTTTTGTTTTAAGTTATATCTTTTTCTGTTTGGGCCATGTGTGACAATGAGGAACAGTTTCTATAATGAATGAATGAAGACTTTATTTCCTCAAATGTCTGGGGCCCACTTAGCCCTGGTTCTCCTCTCTGGCTGTATGTTTGCTTCACCAAGAGATTGTTAAAAATAATAAACCAGGCCCTCCCTGGTGGTGCAGCGGGTTAAAGCACAGCACTAAGAAGCTAAAGCCACCTCAGCACGAGTTCAATCCCCGCCTCAGAGGTGATCCACAGGGCACGGCAGACCCCTCCTGACCCGCCCGCTGCTCCCCTCAGCAATGTACTTCATCATTCTGCTCCCCACTCTGTCTCGGGTGAAGCCTCTCATTGCCTCCGCACCTCTGGCCTGTACCCCAGCTCTATATGCATAAATAAACACATTTTTTAAAAATAATACTAACAAACCAAAACAAACAAAATAAACCACTGGGGCTTTCCTGGTGGTGCAAGAGATTAAGTCTCAGCTCTATGAAGCTATCTGCAGCCTCTGCAGTATGAGTTCAATCCCCTGCCAGGGAGTGACCCACATGGCACAGCAGACCTCTCCTGTCTCACCTGCTGCTCCCCTCACCAGTGCATTTCAAGTGGACCTGCCTGTTTTTCTCCCCACTCTGTCTGTGGTGAATCATCCCACACCCCCACATCTTTGGCCTGTACCCTGCTCGTGTATGCATAAATAAATAAGTCTTTTAAAAAATAATAAACCACCACCACCAGAACTTGAACCCTACTAGACCAATTACATAGGAGCCCAGGGAGCACCCAGGCTGCAGGAAGCTCTCCAGATGATTCTATTGCACTGGCAGGGCTGAGAACCACACCCTTGAGTGGTGTGTGATTCACTCTTACAGTGAAATCCTGAACCAGCCGCATCAGCATCACCAGGGTAGAAATGCAAATTCTCAACTCTCCCCAGAAGACCTACAGAGTAAGAAACAGGGAAGGGCTGGGAGAGCCATCTGTGTTTATGAGCCTTCTAGAAGATTCTGGTCCAGGCTAAAGGACGCTAGTGAAAGAGGATCTACTCTAGTGAATCCGAAAGCATGTTTTATCTCAGCCTGTCTTTTCATACCCAGGGAAGAGAATCAGCTTCCCAGTGCCACCCAGAAGTTCCTGTTCAGGCATGCCTAGATGCGGGTTTTACCTCTCAGCTCTAATCCCTCCTCTCTACTGCCCTAGGCTGTACCTGTCTTGGGCAGACTTGTAACAGGAGGTCTGTAAAGGCCACAACCATTTCTCGCACCTGTCAGACACCCTCTGTCCGAGGCGGACAGTTATCTGTTTTGGTTGGTGAGGGTTGCTGTAACCAAGTGCCACAAACTTTACTTCCTTGTGCTTCTGAAGACCAGCACTCCGAGAGCAAAGAGCCTCTGTCCTGCGAGGGACCAGGGAAGGGCCCAGTCCAGGCCTTCACTGGCATCTGTAGCTCTGGCAGCAGACTGCCATCCTCACCTGCTTCCTCGGTGCACTGCGCATGTCAGCGTCTCCCTCTCACAAGGACTCTTGTCAAGCCCAGCGAGGAGCTCCCCCCGCCCCACTGCAGTAATGCTGCTCACCTGAGCTGGTTATATCTGCAATGACCCCAATTCGAATTAAGTTCTAGGAAAATGAGTCTTAGGACATCAACATGATTTGGGGGACAACATGTTTCAGCCTTTGACACCTCAATCTGTATCTTGTGGTCTAGGTCTTCAAAGTGCTCACCACTTAAGATTTTTCTCACAGAGGCTGTACTCACAAGGGCAGTCTGACTACACTGTTGAGGAACAGAGGTCCAGGAGGAGGGGAGACTTGAGAGGCCAGTCCCGTCAGCTCAGCCATTCCCCGCCAGTCCGGTCAGCTCAGCTGTGGCAGGAGATCAATGAGTGAGGACAACTTGGGTTCCGGACTTGCCCTCACCACTGCACAGACCAAGGTTGAGCTGCTACAAACAAGCTCTGTGACACGGTGGAACCATGAGTGTACCAACTGCAGTTGTTTTAAGCCATTCGTTTTGGAGCAGCTTGACATTAGCAAGAGCCTCCCACAGCACAGGGCCGTCACACTGAATGCTTGGGTGTGTTGGAAACCCTCTGCCAGAGTCCAGTGCTGGCCTATCAAGGTGATAAAATATTTGGGTCTCACTGCTGGCTGAGTGGCTGGGCATGAAGACAAAGTTCTGCTTGTCTATAATGAATGGCACCCTCTGACCTACCTAAAAGCTTTTGCGAGCATGGGTGAGACTTTAAGGCTCTGGTTATGAGCAGGACGGGGAGGGGAGGGGGCAGAGAGGTACTGAGGGGTCCTTTGTGAGGGTGGGCCTGCAGCCAGAGCTGGGAGGCACAGAGCCAGCTGTGTGGGCTCCGGACGCTGGGAGGTGGGGAGAGGAGGAATACGAGGCCTGACAAGCCTTAAGAGGCCTGAAGAGAAAACTAGAATAGTTAACCACTGAGAATAGTGCCTTCAAGAGAGCCCGATCTGGAGGAAAGAGAGAGCTACAGAGCTACATAGTACAAAGAAATGCTTTACCTAGCCTAGGACAGATTACAAAGAGAACAGCTTTGTAAGAGAAAGTTAGATCAATATGGAGCCCCCTTCCCGCCCCCCAAGGAAGGCTTCTAAGAACCATCCACTTAACTAATACCAATGAGCTCTTGGAGGCTTTGCTATCTTTGACACACCACTGTGTCGAACAGTAACATGAATCTGTCTCAGCGGCCTAAGCTCTAGATAATCCTTGTCACAATATTTGAAGGTAGGGTGGGTGCTTTTTTTTTTCTTATTGTTTACTACATTTTATAGATGAGGAAACTGAGGTTCAGTTACACAACTAGACCATACAATTAAGTAGCCAAACTGGGATCCAAATCCAGGTATACAGATTTTTTTTTTGTTCTTCATAACAAGCCAGGGCACGCTTTCCTTCTAGAGTCAGTCAAATGGATTTTCACACTGTCCTTCACATCTCAACAGCCATAAACTTTTAAACATACATAATTTGTGCATAGCACTAATCCACTCCAGGGGCCCCGTTCAGGGATGGGTCTATTGCTGGATGAGTTGCTCTCTAGAATATGGTGACAAAATGTGTCAAGGCCTGCCACTTCACTTTTGTTATTTTAATTTTTTAAAGATTTATTTATTTATACATACAAGACCTTGGATACAGGCCAGAGGGGTGTGGGGGGGAGAGGCTTCACCAGAGACAGAGTGGGGAGCAGAACAGGTGAATCCACGGAAACACACTGCTGAGGGGAGCCGCGGGCAAGAGAGGAGAGGTCTGCTGTGCCAGGTGGGTCAGCTCTTTGGCCCTGGAATCAAAATGTGCTGCAGATGGCATCACTGTGCTGCAGCTTAACCCCTTCCACCAGCAGGGAGGCCCGCGCCTTCCTTCCTTCCTAACTGCTGCTACATGCAACCTACATGGGACTTGCCTGCTCCACTTCTGACAGCCTAAAAGTAGGCCATCCTAGAGGAGATGGGCCTCCCTGACCAAGAAACCCAACAGGCAGCCTGATCAGCTTTATGGGAAGAAACGTGCCAATAGATCCTCAACCCTTAATGTACTGAGCTAGGGTTCACCGTCCGACCCATAGACACAGGGCATGTCCTCGGCCGGAGATCTACGTATTTCTCAGGTTACAGGAGTGTCCAGAGGAAAGATTACTTGACCGGGTCTCCAATGGGCCTTAGTATAAGAAGGGGTTCATGACCTTCCCAGGCTTCTCTGCTGCCCCGTCTCCCTCCCCTAAGACTGACATCTGGTGTGGAGAGAGCAAGCACATGCTCCCTGCAGGCCCCGCGCTTTCCCTGTGGCTGAGGGACTTGCACATTGGACCACAGTTCAGTCGGACCAGATTGTTCTGGGAAGGTGCTCAAGTCCAGGATTGCGTTGGGGTCAACAGATCACCACCTGCTCCTCGCAAGGGTCAGGGTGCCCCAGAAGGGGGCAAAGTGGTTCCAATGCAGGCTGACACCCACAACTCAGCCACCAACTTGTTTCAACTTTCTGCTCCCCGTGCAGGAAGGGGGAGCCAGCCGGCCTCCCGGTGAGGTGGGAAGGAAAGTGCAGGGGATGGTGACCACTGTCCCTTGAGCTAAGGCTCAAACCTGAAGCTTAACTACTGCCTTCCTATAGTGTCTCTCCCCTTAACTCAGCATTCAGCAGTCCAAATACTCACCTCACAGTCCCTCAAGCTTGCTCAGAACCTGCCTGCAAAAACTCACAAGCCAGAGTCCTTCCCTCAGCAGGGAACTTATCCTTTGGGCCAGGAGCACACAACCCCCTCCAGGGGAGCTCTCACCTGGTTCCCGCCACCCCGCTGCACCTTCATCCCCACACCAGAAAGCTTCTACTGCCCCCTTAATCTTTCCCTTCCCACTCCCAGTCAGAAGGCAAAATCCATTCAGTCACCAGCCCCTTGGACACGCCTGCCAGCTGCGGGCGCTTATTCTCGTGTCTGTGCCTCACCTTACAATGTGCGGTGACTGCTTCGCAGCTTCCTTTGATCTGTCCTCAGGTGGCAAGTGGGTTTCAAGTCCCATGTGCTGGGGACCCCTGGGCGGTGACACCTGGGCGATCCCAGGGCTTCTGCAGCTCAGAAGCCCTGAGCAGCACTGGGGGGACCATGTGTGCTACTTCATGTAACTGACCACTGCAGCCTCAGTGGGCCCCATAGGGACTGAGTGGGCCCTCTGGGAAGCCTGCTGGGCTGTCTCACAGATGCTGCTTCTGTTCCCCAGGAGCGCCAACATCCTGCAGACTCTCACTCCTTTCTGGTCATTATGTGAGTCACTCATGCATAGGAGTAGATAAAAGAGGAACTCTTTAATCTATGTAAAAATGAGAGGCCAGAAATTCCAACTGCCCACCTACAGGAGTATCTGGGCAAATGCCCATGCCTCTGCCATGCTGATAGCACTCGAAGCGGGATTCAGTGCCCAAACCAATCACCCGGCTTGCCTTCCGTCACTCCACCCCCAGATCCTCAGAGTAGGGATCAACTGTTCAGCATCTAAGCTGAAAACGACACCAATGACTTTTCCAGTAGCCCCAAGGCTCCTTGGTGCTTGAAGCCACCGGAGACCTCATAAACACAGGCTGGAACCGAATGTCAAAGCAGATAGATCCAGCCCAGGAGCATGGCCGTGAAGCTCTGTGGGGGCTGGGCTGGTTTCTGCTCAAAAGCAAGACCAGGGCAAAGCCTGGCCCAGTGTGACCTTGGGAAGCACTTCTGAAAACCACCTGGCTTAGGGGGACTTCCAGGGACATGGCAGTGCTCTTTCAACCTGGCCTGTTGAAGGGGACCTGGAGTTTAGCCTGAGCTACTTTTACTGACACAATCTCTTAAAACGATACGTGACCATAGAGAGCAGGACCCTAAACAGTAGTTCTGTTCCTCATCACAAGGTCAACCCCACTCAAGGAAAGATAAGCCCTAGAAGGCTCACAGGAACTCCTGTGAGCACGACCCGACCCCAGACTACAGACTGTTGTCCAGAGTCCCCGCGGCCTTCGGCCCTTCTGCGCAAGGGTCAGCCACAGCCCTAAGAAAGATGGGTGCTGCAGGGAGCCCCGGGGCCTCAGCCCCACCGCCCTCTACTGGCCACAAGGGAGACGGCCAGCATGCAGGCCTCCCCCTGGCACTGAGGTGCAGATGGGCTCTGTGCCAGGAGGTGCCCTTTCCCCGCATCTCCCCAGATGCTCCGGTTAATCTTTCCTGAGCTGGGCTGGGGTAGGGAGCAAAGGCAGCGCCGTGAAGTCAGGCCATGGGCAGCGCCGGGCTCGGTCAGAGCGGCCTGCAGCTGGACAGGCAGAGCCCAGCCCGGCCCGCGCCCCCAGGCCAGCGAGGGCGGGGGCGGCCAGGGCGGCCCGCTCCTGGGCAGGAGTCACATCACACGTGCGGATCACGCGCAACGCCAGTGTATTTGTGCAGTTACAGTGGCAGAAATGAGACACACAAAACTGGGGAGACAGGACGTTGCAGGGGCCAGGATACCCCAGTACTCTCCACTGTTGGTGTTTGCTGCTTCCTCGCCTTCTCCAGGGCGGCCAGATCTTCCAGGGCTCAGAGAATCCCATCGCTCCACGCCCTGGCTGACACCGTGCACAAACGCCGCTTGGCAAACAACGGGTCACGCTGCGGCGGAGGCCGTCCCTGGCCTCAGCGGCGCTGGCTCTGGGACTGCTGAGCATCCAGGCTGCACGCTGCCCCCTGGCAGGGGCCGCCAGGCTGGCGGTTGGCGGTTGGCGGTTGGCCAGAGCCTAAAGAGCAGAGGGAGACAGGGTAAGGGCCGGTTCTGTGTCCCCTGGACGAGTCTGCATGAGGACTGACTGCCCTGCGGGCAAGGACAGTCCGTGCGGTGGGCATTTGCCAACTACCAAGAAAATGGGGCTCAGGAGCAAGATCAATACCATAAGGTACATGAAAATCATGAACCAGAGACACTGAGCCTGGGCCCTTTGCGGTCACAATCAAGAAAAAGGGGAAAGACTGTTTTTATTCAATTTCAGCGACAAAAATAAATGCCAGCCTTTGAGTCCACCTTGACGTTCAAGAACCGACTGTGAAAGTATCTACGGCAACTGGGCATGGGAAACTCACTGGGCATTTATTTCTACTTGGATTCTACTCATTTTGTCAGCCCACTGGAGGTTTTCGGTGGGTCATCAAAGGAAAAAGAAAAGAAACACATGTTGAATCGAGGCAGTGGGCACATGCAGCCTGGTTCTGCGGGGTCCCGTTCTATCTGGTCTAGGAAATGAGTAGCTTGAAGAAGGTTCTCTGTTGCGGACCTCTGACGGGATCGTCACCTGACCTGCCTGAGACACACGTGTGGTCAGCACGTGTGAACACACTTCACACCCAGGGTTTGAATGCGTGCAGGCTCGACCCCCCCATGCTCTGCAGACGGCAAGCATGCTAGGCAGCCTGTCTGTGCATGACCGTCTCCTCACGCGGAGCCGGGGAACAGTCGACCGCCCAGGTCTCCCACCCCGCGTGTCTGGGTCTCAGCCCGGGACCAGTCTTTGATCCCAGCAGCAGCTATTACCGTCTTTATGACCCGGAGTCCCGCCTCCCCCCCTCTGTGGTCACGTCCGCCGCCTTTTGACAGGGCGGGGCCCTGTATGTGACTCCTAGGTGCCTGCCTGCCACCTTTCATCTGCCGGGACTGCCTGGAACAAGACCCATAAAACACCATGTAGGTCATCTGCCCAGTGCCCTGTGGGAATAGGAGCTGATGGGCGGGTGGGGCAGAAAGCAAAGCCTCCTTGCTACTTCAAAAGGAGGAGGCTGTAATCAGACCCTCTGTCCCACGCCTTGCCCATTATCTGGAGAGTGGGCCCTTCCGGCTTCCAAAACACTCCCTTTCCCAGGGCAGCCAGACTAAGTAGCTATAGCCTGTTGGTGGGGGTGACCAGCTCACCAGGGAGGACACTGGTCCACAGGGAACCAGCCTGGCCTGGACTCATGTGTCCACCTTGAGGGCACCGTGGAAACCCAGGCAGAAATTGGCTGAGCAGCTGCCAGGCTGCGGGCTGAGGCTGCTCCAGGCACCGACTCCATGGCCCTGAGCACAGGCGGCCTCGCTGACCCCTCAGAGTGCAGTCACGTGCGCCAGGGTGGTCAGATGAGTCTCTGGGTGTATAACCGCTGTGGGTATAAGGGGCCTGGGGAGAGAACAGAGTGCAACGTGAGCTTCTTATGCACACAGAAAGTCCCTGCTCATCCCAGAGGTGAAGCCTCCCCTGAGCTGTTGAAGGTCAGAAGTCCTGAAGGCACGAGCCCTGCTGCGTCTAGGGTGCCAGGTGACTGTGTTAGGGTCACAGAGGGCCTGAGCCTGCCACCAGTCCTCTTCTCAAAGACCTTTTTTCCTTGGAGCTCTTGATTCCTAACCATGACCATCTCTACATCGGTGTTTCAGAAAACGTGGAAGCATAATTTATACTCAAGTTGTACATACTTTACAGCCAGGGACTGACTTCACAAGTGTACATATTTATTCATCACCACACCAATCACTTAGAGAGATTTCCATCCCCGGGGACATTTCCTCACGCCCTTCTGCTTCAGCTGGATACAGGTGAGGAGGAAGACCTGCTTCGGTGTGGTGGATGACCCGGATGTAGGGGTCATGCTATATGTGCCGAGTGGCTGTGTCCAGGCTGAGGGCCAGTGGGGACATAATGCCCTCCTTTTAAGAAAGGCCTAAGCCCAGGGGTGCTTCGCTTTATCCTGACACAGAATCCATTCTCAGGTCACTTGCAAACCTCAGTCCCTACAGACAGCAGGGAGGAGGTGGGACCATCTCCCAATGGACCAGTGCCAAAGCTCTGGCTCCCAGATGGCCTCTCTCCTGGTTCCCTGGGCCTCAGGCAAGGAAGGGGGCCAGCTGGGGAGTGGATAAAAGCTAAGCAGAAGCCTCTCCCAGCTGGGTGTTCTCTTAGCAGTCTAGGGAGAGGCTGAGCTGCTGAGGCAGCCTCCTCCTACCTGCCAGGGCCAGAGATGAGCAAAGTTCAAAGGCAACTTGCATTGAAAAGAAAGTCCTAGGGCCCTCCCTGGTGGCACAACGGGGTTAAAGCACAGCTCTTGCAGCAGGAGGCAGCCCCAGCAAGAGTTCCATCCCCCAGCCAGGGAGTGGACCCACATGGCGCGGCAGACCTCTCCTGACCAGCCCGCTGCTCCCCTCAGCAGTGGACTTCATCACTCTGCCTGTTCTGCTCCCCGCTCTGTCTCTGGTGAATCTCTCACCTCCCTTGCACCTCTGGCCTGTACCCCAGTTCTGTATGCATAAATAAATAAAGTCCTGGCAAATAGCGGAATCAGAGGTGTAGAAGACTGAATCCCAAACTCAGGGCACAGCAGGGCAGACATTCTGGCTGTTAACCTAGATCAGCACCCCAACACCTAACTCTCCAGAGAAGAAGGTGTCCAGAAAAGTCCATGGCCAGAAAGTGCACCAGTCACCGCCATAAACCTGTGGTCCTTCTTTTCTCCAACAAGATTGAACCGCCCGAGCAGGGAGAGATGTTGAGTATGTGCTGATCTCAGGCCAGTGCCAAGGGCACGTGGCCCTCTCACCTGGGTTCAGAGGGCTCTTGCATCAGATGATGCCCTCCCCACCCAGCCATGGCTCGGGAACAGAGTTGGCACGGTGTCTGGTGCAAGGTGAAGATACCCAGGGCGACAGCCATCGAAGTGCCAGTTCTTGCCTCAGCTTCAGAAGAGGACAAAGGGGAGAAGCTGGTCGTACCCAAGGGATGCACATGCGGAGCCTCCTGAACCCCAGGTGTGCGCCCGCACAGGCGGCCGTGAGGAGCACGGGACACTCGGAGGCCCACTTTCAGGCCAGCCTTGTCTGGACCTGTAGCAAGAAGTTATAACCCTATTTAAAGGCCATTCCTGCTCACCACAGTCACTTCATCCTACCTGATGAGGACCTGGAGGGGCGCTAGGGGAGCCTCATGGACTTTGGATAGGGCCAAGAATACACTGTAATGAAAAGATTAAGATCTACAATAATGGGGCCCTCCCTGGTGGTGCAACCGTACCATGAAGCTCACTGCAGCCGCTTCACCTCAGGTTCGATCTCTGGCCAGGTAGCTGACCCGCATGCTGACCAGCCCGCTGCTCCCCTCAGCAGTGTATGTCGCCGATCTGCCTCTGGTGAATCCTCTCATCAATCCTGTACCTCTGGCCTGTACCCCAGTTCTGTATGCATAAATAAATAAATCTTT